GTAAAGCTTGCACGCCAGTGGTCTCCGAACAAATACCATACGGCTGAAATGATCAAAACTCCGGTCGCGATCAAACAATCCGGGCTTTGGCGGGTTGAAAATTGTCATGCCGTCGCCGAACCGTAATGATTTAATTAACTAAATTTAATTAATAGGAATTGGATCATTGAGTTTGTGTTGGTGGTCGTGCAAATATAACACTCCACACGTCGTCGAATACTTTCGCGTCTCGTTTTGCGTTTCGTCCGAAAAGCGTTTACCCCGTCGCATCGTCGTCACGTTAACTACCTTAACTATCCGTTTGAACTTTGGAACATCCCTTCTGAATTCTGTTTCGTGTGCTCGATTTCCTAGATTAAAGCTGTCGAAACTACACTCAAAATTTGATGGTATCAGTTTTTCTTTTAATTTTTAATCTGATTTCAGTTATTTTTATTTTACATCGTTGAAAAGATAATCTCAACCAAGTTTTAATAATATAAAATCAAGAAGGAACTTTTTTCTTAAGATTTAACACAATGTGCCGACTGATGGACAAAAAAATTTTGTTTCTCTCTTAATTATCGTCGTCTTTCCTTGATGTTGGTGCACGTAATAAAATTAAATTTTGTTTCCAATAATTGAGTTGCATATCAATACTTTCACTAGTATTCTGACATTTCGCTTACTCACTTGTGATTCCAACTGGTAAAAGTTAATTAATAATAATAATAATAATGACAATCTCAGTTGTCTAACAGACGCAACCAACAAGCAGAATTAAAAAACAGTAAGAATTGTTACTAATATTTTAAACAGCAACAAACAACAAACTTTAATGTCTTTCTCATTAATTCATTAATTAATAATTTCAAAAAACGGTGACATTTATTAATAATGTTATTATTTTATTGTTAAATTAATATTTGTGATCTTCCTAGAGTTTAATTTGACCTACAATTTGATTTTGATTCTTAAGCCATTTTTAAATTAGATTGGAGAAATCAATAAAACAAAAATTTATTTATACAAATTCGTCAACTTAAGAGAAAGTTAAAAGCTATTTTCAAATATGCTACATAAGAACATTGTACATATATTGAAAACAAATAAACATAAAAAAAAAACATAAAATTTTGTTTTGAATCCTATATAATTTCTAGTTATATACTGTCTTCAATTGTATCGTCCATTCTTAACCGGTGCTAATAAAACCAGAATACAAAATTGTGGTTTCAGAAAGTTCTATCGTGTATCAGAAATAATATTTGAGTAGAAATGGCTCGAAACCAATCTTAATTTTTATTAGCAATTTTTCTATTTAAAGTTATGAAATATTCGATACCGCTGTACTTGAAGGATCGTTTAGTGTCTGCACACTTCTTCTAAACTTAAACGCTGTTTCAGCTATAAACTAGGTCCAAATGAAAAAAAAACTTATATTCATATTCTGAATAATAGAGATCACATGTTTTTAAAAAATATATGGAAAACTGCCTGTTGAAAAACACAAACACAAAATTGATGATATTATTAGAATTCTTTTAAAAACTTTTTAAACTTTTTTCCATCTATTATTTTTATGAAAATAAAGCTTTTCTTTAGGTAATGATCAAATATAAAATATTTTCTTAAAATGCGCGGTGTTGCCACTTTTCGAAAAATGATATTTTTGTTATTTTTCCCCTGTATATTATTCGATTTTCGAATAGCCACTTTAATAGCAATTTCAATTATATAACTTAGTACGGGTCTTACCGTTTTGGCTGAATTGGCAATTATTTTCCAATAATACATAAAATCTTTTACATTCATAATTTAAGAATCTTGTAAATAAGGCCCTTAAATGGAAAAAAAAACTTAAAAAATATTCATATTCTTAATAATATAGACCACATGTCTTTAAAAAATATATAGAAACCTGCCCTTGGAAGACACAAACACAAAATTGATGATATTATGAATTTTGACCTTTTTGACATAGTCATCGCAGTAGCTTTGAAGATATTGTGATATTACTGAGTTTTTGACAAGCATCAGCGTATATAATATTTATAATAAACATTTTGAATCCGATTGTTCTAGTATTCAGGAAAAAATTAGGTTCATTTGTTGCAATTACGAAATTATTTGTCCTAAGTAAATTATTATTCTATAGTAAAGACTATTACCATTATAGCCTGTTGCTTTATTATTGTTTATTAATATTAAGCGACTGAGATCAAGATCTTAAGCTAGATTTTGCCTTTGGAGATATAAGTATGTTAGTATATCAGTTTTTATTAGTATTAAGTAATTTTGTCAAGAGTTGCTTAAAAAGTTGTTCAAAAAACGTTTTTTTTTTAAATTAATTTATTTTTGGGTAGCATTTTTTTTAATTTGCAGAACCAGTTTCATAAAACTCGAGCCCAAATAGCATTTGTTCCATTAAGAAATCTTGTTTGGCCCGCCGTCCTGTACTCTTAAAAAAATTATAAACCGCAGAAAATGGTTATTTATTAATATAAAAAAACTGGTGATTTTAACGATAACGTAATAACGTATAATGTGTACCTGTAGTAAACATGCGAGTTCTGATACTTTGGTTATTCTATATCATTCATTAACCATCGTTCAGTAGTAAATAATTAACTGAAACTTCGTCTCTATCGTTCATTAAAGAGTCTTCGCCAAGTATTTAATGAAGTGGTTGCGTGGGTCTGCCTTGATGACGAAACGTCTCTCTTAATTAAGTCTCACATGCATACGTCGAAGCCGCTAGCTTTTGGTCAATTAAATAGTTTGAAACTGACACCATAAACACTGTTTAGCCAATTCGGATACCACAAAGTAAACCAAACCCGAAATTTGAACCGAATAATACGTTCGCCGGCAGTGTTTGCGTAAGAAATTCGAAACCTGAGCGTCCTCAATTGCGAGCTTAATTTGCCACTTGTATTCGCCGAATTAAGGCCGTTCCCAGTTTCATCCACAGCTTACGTATCGCTGTTAATCGTATATCGCAACAAGGGTATCATTACACGCCTTGCTGGTATATCTGAATTAAACGATTAGAATTGAGTGGTTGAATGGTTATCATTTTTTTGCACTACAAGAGGCAATGGTTCTTCGAAAAAGAAAGAAGAGCAAAAATGAAGCTATAGAAATCAATCCTTTATGCAAGCTGAAGATTTAGGCAAGAAATTTGTTGTTAGGGATAGTCCTTTTAAAAACAAATTCAACAATATATATGAGTATGAGCCTGTGATGCACTGTTTCGAACTTTTTAGCGATTATCTTCAGAATTCGAGTTATGGTTAAACAAACCATCATTGCTGGGTTACTTATCAACTTTTTGAACATTTTCCCATCTCATATTTTTACGAAAATAATGCTTTTCTTTAGGCAAGGATCAAATTTAAAATATTTTATTAAAATACGCCGTAATGCCACGTTTCGCAAAATGATACTTTTCTCATTTTTCTTTATGAGACACCCTGTATATTGTTTGATTTTCGAATAGCCACTTTAGTAGCAATTTGAATTATATAACTTAGTACCGGTCTCTTGACTGACCGTTTTGGCTTAATTGACAACCATTTTCAAATAATACATACTTTTACATTCGTAATTCAAGAATCTTGTAAATAAGTGCCGTCGGCACCCTTTTCTCATCTTAGCCACCTGCCGTCGCATCATTCACACAGAACGATACCGTCGGCGTCCTTTATCGGCGACTCAACCCCGTGTTCCCATATTGTAAACACTATTAGTTTTATATTACTTTTAGAGGCCCACGCAAGGATAAAGTTAGGCTTGGATCATTCAGTTATTAAAAAGTATCAGCGTATTATAATGTTTTAAGCGTATTTTTTAGGACTTCACATATTTTCTATTTATTTTAATAAGTTGCATTTTTGTTGAGTCTATTTTGTATAATGTATACGAAGGAGGAAAAAGTTGACCTACTAAAATGTTACATCGCCAGTTGCTCTCAGACAATATGGAGCCCAAATCCACACCAGTAAAAAATTATAAAAAGCAGATTTTAACTTAAGATTCGGATTTTGCAGTATATATATATATATATATATATATATATATATATATATATATATATATATATATATATATATATATATATATATATATATATATATATAGGCCGATGAATCAACATTTACGTCTGCGGTGTTATAAACAAGCAGGGGCGAAAATCCGTGAAAGTATAGTGCGCAGTCTAGAGATCTAGAATTTTGGGGCCCATATTTGACCATCAAAATTTCACATCCTTAGGATAGTTAAACATAAGGAACGAAATTGCAGAGAGTGGATTGAATAAGTTCGAAACGGTATATATCGTTGAATTTGTTTTTGAAATGAACATCCAAAAATGGAATAAAATGTAGGGTGTTCTATTTAAAAAAAATGTAAGTGTATTTGACCACCCTGTATATAAAAAAGTGGCGATTTGAAAAAAAAGTCATTTTAATAGAAACAACTTTTGTATTTAATTTTTTTTTGTAACCCCCGTAGGTTTCGAGATAAGGTATAAGCTCCTCTTAAACGGGCCACCCTGTACGGGAAAGCATTTTCATCTTATCTAGTGTTGGAACACTTGTACTTCAGGAGTAGTCGCGCTTTGATTAAAATCTTTACTTGCGGAATACATAAGTTTAAAAATGCAGGACAGCCGAACCGAAAGTGACCGGCAAGCTGATTGAACAAAAGCAAAACCAACGAAACTGAACTTCTACTGCACTGAAGATTTGTTGAACGTCGCCTTCTCTTGTGGATACTAATTAGATGTGCCCTCGGTGCAGTGGTTGGTTAATATTCTAGTAAAATTTGGAAACAGATTGAGAATACTGCTTCTTGACAAAAGAGAATAAGAAAAATGAAGTTTGACTTCATATCTTAATTTTTTGTTCTTCATTTTTATTCCAAAAAAAAAAAAATACACGGTACTATCCTGTAAGACGAAAGCAACTCTCTTAATACTATAGTTTAATACATACTTACGTTTATCAAGTGTGCCTTACCTTCCTCGATATTCCAGGTTGTAGATTCGGATGGGGTTATGACCTGACGCGGAGTCCTGGTGCCGTCAGGAAGAAGACTATTTCGCGGACTGCGATTATGTTCAGTAATATTTAACCTAGAGCCATATTGACTAGATTCGGGCGTGAGACTATGCCTAGGCGTCCTGTTTTGGTCTGGGATAAGGCTGTTTCTTGGACTTCTGCAAGGCAATTGATTTTCGTCGTTTGGGATATATTGCGAGATTATGAACGTTATACCTGTTGTATTGGTCTGGAACTAAGCTGTTCCTGGGCGATAACGCTGAATCTGGAACTAGACTATTTCGGGGACTTCTTAAATCGTTTGGCACTAAGCTATGTCTGGGTGACCGTTGCGAGTCAGGAACGAGGCTGCCACGCGGGCTCAGAATTCCATCGGGCACCAACGAGTGACGTGGTGATCTGCGAAAGTAAAAATGCCATTACATTTAATTTGTCCACAATGGGGTTGACACCATTCACCTGTTACATACGATATCCTGATCATCTATACTTCCTCGTCGATCTTCACGGGTCTCCATCAGTGAAATGTCGGGTATGATGCTGTGTCTGGGGCTTCGATTTATTTCGGGAGCAATCAAGCTACGACCACCGTCGACCGGTGATACCGCGATGCTAGCCCTTCGACCCGGGCTAGTTGCCGCCGAACGCGTACCGGACGGGCGAGTTTGAGGTGAGGAAGCGGCACTCCTGGAAGCCCGCCTCCTCCTCGATGACGTACTACGATGAAGCATTTCGCGTTACGTAACTATGACTAGAGACGCCGCTGATATTCGTGAGGCATCGTTCAGGCGGTCTGCAACAAAGAATTTAGTCAAATGGTGCATTAAATACCGTGGTCCTCAGATAGAGAGGCTAGCCCAAATAACTTTCAATAGGCAACAGGCAAATTCAAAACTAACCAGCATTTTTAAAGATGAGCAATCTGAGCTCGATATTAATCTGAACCATATTTATAGAGGGTTCTTTCATATTCAATGATGATAAATTATTTTATTAATAAATAATTTCGTTGCCATATAAAGCTAGAGAACCTAAACAATGTTACAAGAGAAACTTTTTCTTCATCATCTTCAGTTGGGATACAAAGACCACCACCATTTTATAGGTGGTCTTCTAGATGGTCGAATTGTATATAGATTTTTCTCTTCTTTTCCCGGTTTCTTGCCAATCTTCCTTCACCTTGATTCTCACACGCTTCCCTTATTTCTTCACTTGTCTTCCTGTCAGACAAATTATATCCAGATATCATCCTTCACGTTGTTCTTAAAAGCTCTTTAGCTGTTGTGTTTTTCGATCACATGATCATATCTTACAGTATTACATATTCTAGCTTTACTCCTAGTGTTCATATGTTTATTCCGCCAAATTGTATCCCTTAGGCACCTTAAAATTAATGACATCACTTGTTTTGTTGTTTTTGTAAAGCGCTAATTTACATCTCCTCATTTCGCAAGGTACTGCTGATTTTGTTTTTTACGGATAATTCATTTCCTCTTTTGAAATAATCACTACGTCATTAGCATAGCATATTATTTTTATCTCTTTAATTTCCAGCTCATTGATCACTTTTATTATATCGAGTGAATGTTTCTTGGTTTTGGTAGGGTTGTGAGAACGTACCCTGCATTAGATCAATGAAACACATAAAAGGTCTCTTATCATTTATATGGCTTATTTAGCTGTTTGTTGGATTATAAATTGGCATCTATAGTACACCTGTTGCTTCGAACATTTTAGTAAATAGTCTTACCCAAAGTTGTCGAGCTGATAACTTGATAATTTTATTGGTAGATCGGTAAATCGGAATCAAAATGGTTTCTTACCATTCGAATGGTACACTTTCGACTACAAGTATTTTATTTTTTTAACACACTCCATATTTCATAATCTCGTTCGTCATTTGGTCAACGCCTGGAAATTTTCTGTTCGTTAGGTACTCTACCATTTTGGTTGCAGTTGAGCTATAACTTTTTCTGATGTAGTTATTGTGTTTTTAAATGTACACTGTGTCCCATTTTGGTCACGAATGAAGAGTGTTAGTGAAGATAGAGCCTTGCGTTTTCGCAAACCTTTGGCACTTTTTTGTGAAACGAAAATACAGGGTAATTTTAGAAATTTGAACTTTTGGTATCTCGGTTATGCTATGAAATGTTGTCGGAAAGGTGAAAACCGCATTCGATATACATTTTTACATAGAATTCAGTGGCACGGTCAATTTTTTTTTAAACGGTTTCGTCCATTTGAAAAAAAAGTATTTTTTAATTTTATAGGCCAGTTTGATTCCGCTTGGTATGAGCTTCTCAAAAATGTATATATTTTTTTTAATATAATATATATAATAATATTTAATAATTAATAACTTTTACATATTTATATGATTCGTGAAAATTTGAAAAAAATATTTTTGTGAGGACATACTGTTATACATTTTTGGAGAAGCCCATACCAAGCGGAATCAAATTTGCCTATATCCTATATCCTTGCCGACATTTCACAGCATTCTCGAGATAGAAGGGGTGACCCAAAACTTCAAATTTTCAAACTTACTCTGTATTTTAAAAAGTAGGCAAGTCATAAAAATTTTATTAACCTCATCCATTGTTTCACAAAAAGTACCTATCTTCTCTAACAACGGACGTACCCCTCAGTCGCTACAAAAATGTTGTTTCTCAGTAGATTCTTTTATCCATGTCAAGCAAAAATCATATTTTTATGGGTTCACCCAACTTTGCTGTGCCGCAATAAAATTTCTGGATAAGGATCGGAACATTATTTGATATTATTAAATGGCAAAATTACGAAGTTATGCTTCTCGTTAGTGTCGATGAGTGTCGTTGTTAATACGCAAACGAGTATTCATTCAATAACGGCTTTCGTGGAAGCGCTGCTGTTGATTAATTTGTTCCGATTTATGAAGCTTAGTGGCGAAAGAGCAATTAAACGCAGTCGAGAATTCAGACGTGCGCGTGTGGGGGCGTTGGGGTGGGGACTTGTGGGAGAATTTGTTGCGAAACAGGAAAACCAGACAGCTCGATTAGTGATCGACGTGCGAGTGCGCAAAGTAAAGGCGGGGGATTTAATAACAGTATTGTTTCACACTCAAAAGCTTTCTGATTAAATGAATCCGCCAGGCTTCTTTGCATGAGTTAATTTAATTGGATTTTGGAACCCGTCCAGTTACAACTCGTTACCGTTGCGGCAAATAATAACTATAACAATGACGTTAATTAACTGAATGGAAAAACTGTGCACTTATAGAAGCTTTAAATTAATTGAAAAGGCTAATTACCGTTAAGTTAAATTCTAATTTTACAGATTAATGAATATGGTTTGGAAAAATGCTTGGAAGATATATAATTTCCTGCAGGCATAAAGACAATAAGAATAGAAAAAGAAAACCAAGTTGTTAGCAAAACAACCTTCCATTTCATAGTTAAGTGTTGTACAATATAAAATTACAATTTTCGCAGGTCCCAAAGCAAAATGAGAAGTGTAGGAGACATTAGTCAAATTAACAAACAATATAAAACTTTAAAAGAAACTCACAGCCTAAAATGGGACCTTAAATAAGGTCCAACACCCTAAGCGTAATGGTTCAGAAAATATCATTCGTATAAGTTTTAAAAATTCATCATCTTAACACTGTGCGGGAGTCAATTAAAAACCTTAAAATCTATACTTCTCTTCTGAATTTCTGTATGTGAATGAAAAAAGAATTAGAACTAATTCTGATTTATTCAAGTTGTATCCGTAGTATAATCAATAAGAAGACAAAAATAGAAATGTGTGGAAACAAGTTTTGCACTCGAAACCGCCTTCCAATTACTACCGTTGTAATTGTTGGTAAAGTCCTGTCTTCTACGCCATAACAGCAATGGCCCAGAAGAAAATTTTAAATTTAAACAATTCTTCTTACACTTAGGTAACATAAATTTCGGAATCTTAATTTCTTAATTCGTAATAAGTAAATGGACCGAACCAATAGACAGCAAAGGCATAATTCTGATTTGTTTCAAGTATTACATTGTCAAGCAGAAGTCATAGTTCACTGTTGCTTTAGCATTCGTGAATTGAAAAAAAAGAAAAAAATTACTCCATAAGATTTCTGTTCTTTAAAAACTTATCTGGAAATCAAAACCCGTATTCCGGGAATCGGGGAATTGAATTGAAACATAATTATATGTTGGCAAAGTAGTGCCACCACTATATTTCATTATCATTCTTGTTTCTGAATTTACTATCAACTCTAATAAAATGAATGAAATGAAAGTGTTAGCGACAAACATAACGATCTGGTGATTTCGTGTATAATAGAAAACGGTCAAATATTAGCAACCGTACCCACTATTCTAAATGGCTGAATTAATTTTCTGTTTGAATAAGTAAATAGCTTTCCATAAATCCGGTATTAATAATATCGTACCAGTAAGCAAGTTGCTCGCGATCCTCCATTATTATTGCCATTTTTAGCTAGACATTGATTTAGTAGCAAAAATATAGTAACATAGACAAACAAAAACTAATTTGCATGTCATAAATCTTGCTGTTTTCCCCATTTCTATTGTTCATGACTACTAGAATAAATTTCTCCAGGGGGAACAAAAACTTCCTTATTTTTTCTAATAAAAAATGTCAATCACTCCCACCTTTAATTATTTTCGAGCAAAATTATCAATACTTTTGAAGCACTCGTGAAATAAGCAACCCAGTTCCGAGGGTGGTGTCATTAAATCAGTGAAAATCCGATTACGCGGACAGGATACGAACTTCCGACTTTTTCGACGACCTCTTACGCAGTTCGTTGCCACCGGAAGTTTGTTTATCGCTTCTGGTCGATATCGATTCGTCGCTCCTAAGCTAGCACACATGTGCCGTCTGATCCCATATGATGGAACCTTTGATGAATTTTCGATGACTGCTTCTGTAGGGTAAAATCTGCTCGCGCACCCCTTTGACTCGGGATGCTTATATACGTCACGTGCGTGGCACAAATTTCATTTTAGTCTTGCTTTGAGTAGCTTATTTGTAAAATATTGGATTTCGCTTGTAATCAGATGAAGACGATGACATTACATATACTTAAATATATCAAATGTAAATATATAAATATATACTTAATAATCAGTAGACGTTTTTCTATTTATTTAATTTCCTTATTTTCCAAACAAAAAAGTTGAGTTTGTAGAGGAATCTTCAATTCAATGTAAAAAAAGCGCTTTAACATGCCGACAGCTTTTTTGTAATGGTAGGGTTTATATATTGAACATTTATTTTTTGAAATAATTAAACATGCCTGTAAAAAAAAAGAAATAAAAAAAAGAAATGAATGACTTCTTCATTGATAATGAATTTGACATGGATTTTCTGACTTTGTGGCGCGATAACCTTGGAACGGTTTAACCTAGGCTATTCAAATTTCGCTGCTTTTTAACATTCCACAATCCGCAGTAGATTTTTTGTTTTTTTTTTATTTTCGATAGTTTTTTGCTCAATGTAAAAAAATTTCAAAATTGTCAATTTTAATAACAATAATAATATTCTTTATTAAGAATACACACAGAATACAATACTTAAATGTCAAAGGGTGAAGTTTTGCTGACTATGTCAGCTACTCAACATTAACCCAACACAATTAATACACCCTTTGACAATACAATTTATAACAAGAGAACGCGCAGTAAAGAGCAATTTTCTGTTGAGGCACAGTTAGCGTATTCTCCATAATATTTACATTGTGGGTTTCACAGCGAAAAACTAGCTTATCTTTGAAATAGGGAGGGCTAGAAGCCTTTA